ATATACACACACACACACACACAGACAGACACACACACGTCGAGTTATTGCTTGCTTCATCAGCAGTAGGCTTGGCTCGCTGCTGCAATTCTCTCTCCTCCCTAACCTGGAGCTCCAGCTGCATCAGGAGCCTGCAGAGCAGTAAACAGGACACAGCACCAGCGACAGAAGGTAGTATTGTATACTGCCACACAACAACCAGAAACAGGAATCTGAGACTCTTGAGCAGCAAAGAAAAGCACAAAGAAAGGACACAACAAGCGCTTGAGGAGGAAACGAGAAGAAAAAAGGAAAGATGATAAACAGACACTAGAAAGCATAAGGTGAGTGATTTTAAACGGAGAGATCCACATGCACATGATGGCTGCAGTAAATTAATGTAATGTAGTGCTGGCTCATGATAAAGCTAGTCTGTGCTCTGTCGCTATGCAGATTTTTTTCTTTTACTATTCCATGGAGGCACTGACAAAAGTCACATTATAGTACTTAAATATAGAAGCTAGCAACGTAAAGCACAGTCATAGCAGTGGCAACTGCTATCATCAAGCACATAAAGCGACACACCTTGAAGAAATTTCCAGAATATATTTATCATATTCAGTGCTTGTGATCGAGTAGTCTTTAGATCAGAATATGAACTGCAGTTGTGGAAACACAGTTTATAGGCTTGAATGAACTGAATGTCACTGCAGCATTCTGAGCGCATGTCCTACTGGCACATCTTCAAGCTGGTTGCTACTTAAAACCACCCTACTTCAGTATGGCAACAGTACTGAGAAGAGAGTCTGATGAGTTGTGGTGAATTCACAATGCACGTGCCATTTCTGCAGTCATTCACTTACATTTAATGCTATTTGTTAGTTAGTAACTAATTTTCTTAAACACCATCAATGATATTACATAACAATAATGTCACTGACTTAGCTCAATGACCGTTTTGGTCAGAAGAGCAGTCTGAATTGACAAGACATTAAAATTGATCTCTGAAGGCAAGATTAAAGGCTGCTAAGGACTCAATTTGAAGATAAAATGCCAAAATGCTGAAAATGTTAACTGGTGGGCCACAGTTAAAAGTTCTCAAAGACAAGACCAAAGAGTCACATTTAGGAATCCAATATATGATGGAGGGTCACTCAGTAAAAATGCACTTTAGGTTTGAGTTTTTAATATTTTTAATGAAATTATGGTTTCTATTGATATTTATATTTATAGTTTTGTCACATAGAACTGTGACTAATATAGTATACAGTTAATATGGATCTTCTCTAATGAGAATCATAGATCATGTACAATGATCTATGATTACAACCTTCAAACACTTCTGAGCTACTGTGAAACTTGGTGTCATTCTGCTATATTATTGTATCATATGCACTGTAGATGCTGTTGCTACATTCGGGCATTAGCTCAAGTATAGCATCACAATCATATTCATGATTATTTTGGTCAATACTCAAATTAAAATCTTTTAGGACAATTATTCACTTGCCTTTGACATGTAATGCATTCGA